ATTTCCCTCTTATTAATTTGAGGTTTTAATTAAAATTATTAAATAAAATGTTTTAACCTAGTCCAGTTCCATAACAAATATTCATTTGTTTTTGGAGGTTAGATGAAAATACTGTTACAATCTACTATTTATTATTTTATTTAATAATTTTAATTAAAAATATAAATAATTGTAGAATTATTTTAAGCATTATTGAATTAAATTATAAAATATATTATGTTCTAATATAGGCACGTCTTGAGCATATATATATTTTTATTCGGATGTAAACAAAATTCAATGTCAAACATGCTCAAACGGTTATAGTTATTTTATTTAGATCAACTCATTGATAGGCGTCGTTATTATAAGTATGACATCGGTAATCTTATAATCGAAGTATTTATACCTCGAAAAAAGAGGTTGAGGTAGATTCTCTCTTCTTATGATTTACATTATTCACCTTCTCTAGCATAATTTCTTTATCATTTTTTTAGTAGAGAATTACCGATTATAAATCATCGTTACATTAACTATGACCCTATGCACAAATCAGACAAAAATTAACCTTGACGCAATCCACTTACTCCATTAACAGAGTTAAGTGAAATCCTTTTTCTAAATCACGAGGGTAATTATATTTTACACCGAACCTTAGAATAAGTGTCATTTACCCTTAAATTATGATTTTTATAAAGAGGAGGGATAAAACTAAGGAACCTATTAGCATAAAAGTGAAATAGACAGTGAGTAAAATCAAAACCTGCAATCATAATTGATGATGTTTGGTTGGAATAACTGTAGTGAAAAGCTCGAGAAAGATAATTTTAATAAAGAAATCACCACAGTGAAAAAGGATTTTGGTCAGTTACCAAGATCTTCACCTGTATATAGGCCAGGATAGGCCTCTCCATTGACTTTTTTTATTTTTCTTTTTTTCTTTACTTTTAACCATAAGGTCTAAACCTTAATACAATGCCATATTTTTCCACGTGTAAGTTAAAACCTTTAGGTGAAAAACTATTTATTAGGTGTAATGATGATTTGAATCCCTCAATTTTGTTAGAATTAAAGATTTAATCTTTGTACTTCTATAACATTATTAGTAGATCTAAATTAAAACATTCTTAGTTATTTCTATTAAAGAGAAGACATATTTTTAGAGAAACAATTTTAAACATTTGGTATTAAGCATGGCTAACTCAAATTTTTACATGAACTTAATCGTTATCTTTCTAATGAAAAACAATTAATGTTGTTATAAATTTGAACTTTCTGCCATTCGCAAATGGAGCAAACTAGGTTGGAGAGTCGTCATTGCCTCTATAGTACTCAATCTGAATTAGTCTATCAATAAAATGGATATTAATGATTATTCAAAAAATGATTAAATATGAAGTTTTAGTAATGTAGAGAGACTAAAACTATTGTTAGACTTGAATATGAAAGGATGGAGCTTTGGAACCATTTTGAACATGATTGTTACCCCTCTTACAATGTTTCATATGTGCCGATATTACCCTTAATTGAAAGATAAGTTATAAGACTTCGCCTCCAATCTTATAAATTATGAAAAATTTCATATTAACTACTCGAAAAAACCCTTCGAATATGCCTATAAAAGCATTTTAGCATTTTTTTTCATGCACAAAATAAACTTTGGAACCATTTTCAATGCGATTTTTAATTTGCTTACAAGATCTCGTATGTGTCGATATTGACCTCAATTGAAATATAAATTCCAATACCATGTCTCTAATCTTATAAGTTACAAAAAAAATTTAGATTAACTATTACAAAAAAAATTTAGATTAACTATCTGAAAACACCTCTTGAATGTGCCTATAAACACTTGAGATTTGGGCTAGAAATCTATATAACTCACTTTCTATAGAATGTGATGTATGTTTACAACACACGATAAATTACCGAAACGTTTCACTATCTCGGGCACCTCGTGTTGTGTAGAGTGCTAGATCATTTATTTAAATATTAAATTATATTATTTTAAAAGTGTTTCCACGTTAGAGGAAACTTGTGCTAGAACGCGAGGCCTTTAAACGCGTTTTATTGGACACAAGGTAATCTTATGTGTACAATATAGGGATATTTTTCTAAACTAATAAATTCTTGTGGGTTTTTAAACTAATAACTCCTTTGTAATATGGGGCAGACAGGTAGGTCCATAAGGAAGGGAAAGGCACAACCATTATTCCTTTCCTATGATAAAAGCAAAAGGAGATAGGAACCCTCTATCCTCCCTCTCCATAGCCAAGAAGCTTTGACAAAGGAGGATCATCATTGTGTAAGAAACGTGAGCCTTGTGTTTAATTCCCATGGATAATACTATTATCATAAAAACCATCCATGCATGTCGATGTGCATGGCAACAAGAATGTCGGTGTAGACGTCAAGAATATATTATCAAATGGTTTCACTTGACGGATGCAATATTTAATTTTAAGGGTAAATTTTTAAAAATATTTAAGGTAAAAATAGATTATCAATACAAAATATTTAAAATATATATAATAATTTGAATCTTTTAAGGGAGTGACTACCTCTGATTGTCCCACTCAATCCATCTCTGGACTTCATCTTTACCCATAACCTATTAAACCTTTCAAGATTTCTTATTAAGATGATAAATTTATAAAGTTTTAGACAGAGACAAAAACAAATCATAAAAAAAAAAATTAAGGTACAACCACCTACACAATCTCATCTCGGTCAATTCGTGTAACCCTCCACCCTCTCCATAGCAAAGAAGCTTTGACAAGGAGGCGTGTGTGATCATTGTGTAAGAATGTTTTTAAGCTTCGGATTATGTACTCTTTGGGTGAGTTCTTCATGACATGTAGATTGACGTGTATAAAATTTGTTTTTTTTTTTGAAAAAAAAATCGTACAAATTATGTTGAAAATTCAACAATTCATGCACCTGCACCTTGAGCTGATATCAAAGATCCTCGCATTGTATCAATTCATCTTTTAAAATCCTATTGAATTATACAATCATTGGATCGAAAAGATAAATTTTAATCTCACTTGAAAGCAATGTTCTTTTCTTTTTCCTAAAAAAATAGAACACTTTTCCCCTCATGCCTTTGTTGCTTGTGATACAATTTTAGCTTTTTAGGCCTTTGGTTCTTTATTGTTATTATTTTTATTAATAATAAAATCATACATAGACACATAGTAATTAATCAAAAGTCAAATTGATTAAAATTTCATATGAAGAAACCATAATAATATTTACTAATAATTTATATATAGTTATAGTATTTAAATATATTTTTATTTGGGAGCATGTGGTAGCACATGATTCTTTCTAAGCTTACTTTTTCGGCATGCAAAAAAGGAGGTGAAAATGATATCATATAAATAAACATATATTCAAATCTTTTTTTTTTTTCATTATTAGACTATTAAAACAATCTTTTTCTAATATTACTTGACTTGTACCCAAAACCATATAGGAACTAACAATGACGGATCCAAAAATTTAAAAATGGGTTCAAAATTTTAATTTTATTCTCTTAAAAATAATAGGTATGCAAAATTTTAAATTTTTTCCCTTAACACATTAAATTAAATCTAAACATTTTCCCAAAATAATGGGATGCACTTGGTCCCTTTGGGACATAGTGCATTCGCCCTGAGAACTAAATTAATTTTTTTGAATTGTTTACTCTTATTACACTTTTAAATATAATTTTGCAATCAAAACATTGCTTTTCAACGGTAAGCAAGATTAAATGAATATCTAAAAAGAAAAAAAAAAGTCACATTTCAGCTTCATTTTACAATAAAGTTTAGAAACTTAGATCTAAATGGGAATTAAGAATTAAAAAAATCGATAAGGAGAAAGAACTAATTGAAAACATGAAGTATTGTTGAAGATAAGTAGTTTACATATAAAGAAAAGCTTGAGAAAAAATTATTGTGTAATGATCAACCTTGGTTTAATCTTTGAATATTATTTTTCTCACTTACATTTGATTTTGAAGAAATTTATCTATAAATATATATATGTTAGTTTTAATTTAAATATTATGTTAGGATCAAATTAAATAAGATTGAATGATTGAAATCGATAATTCGATTAGTTTGATGAGATATATATATATATATATATATATATATATATATATATATATATATATATATATATGAAGGTGGAACGAACAAATAAGAAAAATTGAAAATAAAAAATAAGTTAAAAACCATTAGGAAAATAAGGAATAAGAGAATTGCATTATTTTTGTGAATAAAATTAAGGATTTTTTTTTTCGGTTTAAATTGTTATTTGTAATCAATAAGAATAACTAGTTATGGGGACGTGATTATAAACCATTAGGTAAGCATGCTTCATGTCCCCGTCTGGACTATATTGTCTATCTTTGATATGTTGAATTAGAGTTGTGAATGAGGCAACGTATGCTCTGAGTTATTCAAATCACTACAGCAAAATATAGATTTAGCGGCGTTTTTAAGCGCCGCTAAAAGACTTGCAGCATAGAAAAAACGACGCAAAAAGCGCCGGCAATACCAGCACGCTAAAGTTTGCAGCGTTTGAAAACAAAAAATGCCGCAATAGGTCAAGATCTATAGCGGCGTTACGCCGCAAAGGGTCAAATCTATAGCGGCATTTTTTGGAACAAACACAACAAAAATGTTAGATCTATAGCGGCGTTTTTGGAACGAACGCCGCAAAAGTCAGATCTATAGCGGTGTTTTTTTAAACAAACGCCGCTAATTACCTTTCTTTAGCTAAGATTAGTTGATTTTGCATATTTCATTTCTGCTCTACATCACCTAAATTTAATATCATGTAGATTTATCTAATTAACAACACAAGTTATGCAAAAAAAGACCTAACAAAATAAATTTAAATTTATAAACATTAAAATTAAATGTAATGTAGTTTGACATTGTTCTCTAGAATTTAGTCTAGGTTCTTTCACCTTCAATTAAAAAAAATATTGTTCACTAGAATTTAGTCTTCATTGCTCCTTCTGGAGTTTTGATAATTCGAATGCATCTCTTGCTTATCTGTTCTATTGGATCAATTCCAGCAACTCTTCCTGCAGCGACAACATTGACATTATGTTGCACAAACTTTTCCTTTTGGAAGGTATTCTGGCAATATCTACAGTGCCAAGTACCAGTTGGAACGCGTGGTAGGGGTATACTGTAACACCGTTAACTCATATCCGACCCGAATACAAGTCTGATGTGTCACATTGACTTTTCAAACTTTGACTCTTAAAGAAAATCCCGGGAATTTTTAAAACTTTCATTAAAACGAAATACTTTAATTTACATAAGACCATAAAATACAAAATCGATCAGAGTATTCGTAATTAACACTTATTACATGCCAACATTCTATACATAACCAAGTACATACTTTGTCAATTACTTCTAATCTGATCTCTTAGTAGTATTGTTGTCCGTGCTACTTCTATTTCCACTTTTCCTGATTCTTGGTACCTACGTGTAAATCACTTACACGCTAAGTCATAGACTTAGTGAGGCAATAAATGAATATGCAACAATAAACTTATGAATGTTCATACTTACCATTGGATCATGACATTTCAATATGTATGTATCTATCACACGATAACATATAATGCACATACGAAACTTACCTTCTTGTATCACTTTCACTGTAAATCTGTATTTCAATTGTATTGCCCATGTATATTATTGAGAATAGAGGTATGTGAGTGCATTGAGGTTGTGCACTAATACTGTCACCACAGCTCGTATCAATTCCCTCATGGGGCACCGAACCTTAGTTCAGTATTCGTCCCGTAGGACTATTATCTATGTCCCGTAGGACCACTACATCCCGAAGGACTTCTCCTTAAGAACCACATACATAATACAATGGCTCCAATCAGTGTACTGAAGTACCACATATAGGTTCCACATAATTATATATATATGTCCCGAAGGACCACATAGAACCCTCGACTCTTGGCATGCCAACTATACCTATAGCTCTCATTTCGTATACTATGGGCATTATTCTTATATTTCATATGTTCATGTACTCATGTCATTTTTCTTGTGATCATGTAGCTCATGTCACTTCATATCATGTTCTCATATCACATGTCATATCACATATCATATCACATGAACATATATATATGTCTTGTGTATGTATCACAATAATTATCATGTATGCATGTTCACAACTCCTGAATTAAAAAAATCAACATAGGGATTAGACTTATCACAAGTCTTATTCCATTATAATATACATATAGTATGCACTCACCTTAGCTTTGCTTTGATTCGATTCTAATCCTTTGATCGTTCCAGAATAAGCTTACTTTTAGTATCTACATAATCGCACATGGATCTATATCAGTATTATAACTAATATACTCTAATGGTTCATTCTTTAGACTAAGAGAAAAGTCAATTTCATCTTTTAATGAAGGTATGCATCGATGCACTACTGATGCATCGGTGCATAAAAGGTATTCGATGTATTATTATTGCTGGGATGCATCGATGCACTCCTTATGCATCGATGCACCAATTGCATTCGATGTTTCATTATTAATGGGATGCATCGATGCACTACTTATGCATCGATGCATGAATTGCATTCGATGTTTTTATTTTAAAAGAATGCATCGATGCCCTACCAATGCATCGATACACCTTCAAACAATTTCTGGGTTTTAACCTTGATGCATTGATGCACTATGAATGTGCATCGATGCACTCTGCCCAGAATCCTCTTTTTGAACCCGAAAGTTCATTCATTTGGATTAAATCCTTCATGTTTAATCCCCTTTTTCATTCTTAACTCTAGTACACATCCTTAAACCAATTTATACTCATTTATTTCATCTTAAACCTTCAAATCCTATCCTTCATATGTAATTCAAGAATTACATCAATAATCCAACATGTTTGAATTCTGCTTTTAACACTTCGTATATCTTAACTAGATTGATGACAAGTCAAATATAACTTTCAATTCTAGTTATGAACTCCATTCCAAGATTTCATTTAAGAACTTCAAATCTTAAATCTCTCCTAACTCAATCATCCTTTGATGTTAAGATAACTTAAGCTTTCCTTAAGCTTAGTTATCATCTAATAATCAAAACCCAATATTAAATTTAACAAGAAACTCAATAATCATAAATCTTACCTTTGATTTGGTTCACACGCACAAGGAAGAAAGAAGAAGAAGATAACTCTGGAAGGCTTTGGTGTTCTCTTCTTTTCATCCCACTTGTACTCATATATATCCTTATCCCTTCTTTAATTAATTTTCCTTGCAAATGGCTCTTTTTCCCTTCCATTCCTTCTTCCTTTCAATTTAATCCTACACAATCATTTACATATAAATCTTTATACTATTCATTCATTCTATTTTAATCACCAAAATCTAAAACTTTCTAATTTAGTCACTAACCCGGTATTGAGGATGTTATAACTCTCCCCCTTAAGAAAATTCATCCTCGAATTTTTCATTATGCAAAGAGGTAGGGGTACTTAATCCTCATGTCCTCTTCACGTTCCCATATTGCTTCCTCTACTTTGTGATTCCTCCACAAGACCTTAACCAATGGAATAGTCTTGTTCCTTAGTTGTTTAACTTCGTGAGCTAATATTTGAACAGGTTCTTCCTCATAAGTTAAATCTGGTCGGACTTCAATTTCTTCAGGAGTCACAATGTGAGATGGATCAGATCTATATTTCCTAAGCATTGAGACATGAAAAACATTGTGTATCTTTTCCATTTCAGGTGGCAAAACTAACTGATATGCTACTGATCCTACCATCTTAGTAATCTCATAAGGTCCAATGAACCGAGGACTCAACTTTCCTTTACGTCCAAACCTCAATATTTTCTTCCACGGAGACACTTTCAAGAACACTTTATCTCCGACTTGAAATTCAATTTCTTTCCTTTTTAAATCAGCATACGATTTCTGTCTATCAGCTGCAGCTTTCAGATTATTTTGAATTACTTGAACTTTTTCTTCCGTATTCTGAATCAACTCAGGACCAATAACTTCTCGATCCTTAAGTTCATACCAGTTCAAGGGCGTACGACATCTTCTTCCGTATAGAGCTTCATAGGGAGCCATTTTGATGCTTGACTGATAACTATTGTTGTACGCAAATTCAGCAAGTGGTAAATACCTTTCCTACGATCCTTTGAATTCAATGATACAAGCTCTTAGCATATCCTCCAGAATTTGAATAGTTCGCTCGAATTAACCATCGGTTTAAGGATGAAACGATGTACTGAAGTTTAACCGAGTTCCCAATGCTCTATGTAATGACTTCCAAAATCGTGATGTGAATCTAGGATCTCGATCAGAAACTATGGAAATAGGTACACCATGCAATCGTATAATCTCTCTAATATACAACTCAGCATACCTATCCATGGAGAAATCAGTTCGTACTGGAATAAAATGGGCTGACTTAGTTAATCTATCCACGATTACCCAGATTGAATCATTTTTGTTCGGAGTTATAGGCAAACCCATCACAAAATCCATCGTTATGTTTTCCCATTTCCATTGAGGAATTGAAATCGATTGTAACAATCCTGACGGAACTTGATGTTCAGCTTTGACTTGTTGACAAGTCAAACACTTTGATACAAATTCCGAAATGTCTTTCTTCATTCCCGGCCACCAATATCGACTCTTAAGATCCATATACATTTTGTTCCCTCCCGGATGCATTGTCAATAGACTACAATGAGCTTCCGTTAACAAATCATTCTTTAATTCATCATCATCCGGAATTACTAATCTTTCTTGATAATACAAGTTCTCATCAGACTTAATCTCATAATCCGTACTCTCTCCATTCTTTATCTGTTGTATCCTCTTTAAACACTTTTCATCTTTAACTTGCAATTCTTTAATTCGATTTAGTCATACGGGCTTGACTGTCAGTTCTGCACAAATTGCACCATCTTCTCTTAACGATAATCTAGCATCAAGAGTTCGCAAAGCTGCAAATGTCTTTCGACTCAAGGCATCAGCTACCACATTTACCTTTCCAGGATGGAAATCAATCACCACATCATAATCCTTGAGAAATTCCACCCATCTTCTTTGTCTTAAATTCAACTCTTTCTGAGTCATCAAGTATTTTAAGCTCTTATGATCTGTATACAAGTAGCACTTTTCACCATACAAGTAGTGACGCCAGATCTTTAAAGCAAACACTACTGCCGCCATCTCTAGGTCGTGTGTTGGATAATTTTTCTCATGCGGTTTTAGTTGTCTCGAAGCATAGGCTACCACTTTGCCTTCTTGCATTAATACGCATCCCAAACCACTATGAGACGTATCACTATACACTATAAAGTTCTTTCCAGACTCGGGTTGAACTAACACTGGAGCTTCTGTAAGAATCTTCTTTAACGTTTCAAAACTCTCTTGACATTCTTGAGTCCAAACAAATTTTACTTCCATTTTCAACCGTTTAGTCATGGGTAATGCTATAATCGAAGAGTTTTTAACAAACATTCGATAATAACCAGCTAACCCCATAAAACTTCTAACTTCCGATACATTCTTTGGAACTTCCCACTCCATAATAGTTTTAATCTTTTGGGGATCCACTCGAACTCCTTCTGCAGAAATTACATGTCCAAGGAATGCTACTTCATTCAACCATAATTCACATTTAGAGAATTTAGCATAAAGCTTCTTGTCTCGTAAAATCTGTAAAACAATCTGTAAGTGTGAACTATGCTCTTCTTCTGACTTTGAATATATTAAAATATCATCAATAAACACCACAACAAACTGATCCAAATACGGTTGGAAAATTCTGTTCATTAAATCCATAAAAGCAGCTGGTGCATTCGTAACTCCAAACGGCATCACGATAAATTCATAATGACCATATCTTGTTCTAAACGCCATTTTCGAAATGTCTTTTTCTTGAATCTTTAATTGATGATAACCCGAACGTAGATCAATTTTTTAGAACACTGAAGCTTCCTTTAATTGATCAAATAAATTGTCGATTCAGGGAAGTGGATACTTGTTCTTGATGGTCACTTTATTGAGTTGTCTGTAATCGATACAAAGACGCATTGATCCATCTTTCTTCTTAACAAATAGAACTGGAGCTCCCCAAGGTGATACACTTGGTCTAATAAACCCTTTGTCCAATAACTTCTTTAATTGAATCTTTAATTCTTGTAATTCCTTTGGAGCCATTCTGTATGGTGCCATTGCAATGGGTGTTGTTCCTGGTATTATCTCAATCTGGAATTCTACCTCTCTGTCAGGAGGTAAACCTGGAAACTCTACAGGAAATATATCGAGAAACCCTCTGACTATAGGAATCTCTTCAATCCCTTTCTCCTTGGTTCTAACATCCCGTACATTAGCAATAAACCCTTGACATCCCTGTAGTAGTAACTTCTTTGCAGTCATCACTGAAATCACACTTGCTAATGGATTCCATCTTTCACTAAATACAATAACTTCTATTCCTTCGAAACTTCTCAATGTCACTCTTTTCAATCTACAATTGACATCAGCGTAATAACGATATAACCAATCCATCCCCAGTATCACTTCGAACTCATCAAAAGGTAATTCCATCATATTAGCAGGGAATTCAATTTCCTGAATCCGTATGGGACACCCTCGGCTCACCATATTTACCCGAGTACTGTGCCCTAATGGATTTGTCACTATTATTTCATTGCTAGTCGTTTCTAAAGGAATATTCAATTCTCTTACTAACGTACTAGTAATATATGAATATGTAGACCCGGATCAATCAATACAATAACACCTTTGTCAAACAATAGAAAGGTACCTGTTATAATATTTGGGTCATCACAATCCTCATTGGTCTTGAGGTTGTACACTCGAGCAGTGGAGTGTATCTCCTGTTGAGCAGAGGACTCTGACTGACTTCTTCCTCTACCTCTACCTCTTCCCCTTTGGGCTACAGAAACAGACCTCTCTGGTTGTACAGATTCACTGGTTAACATTGGATAATCCCGAACAAAATGCCCAATGTTCCCACATCTAAAGCAGACTCCAGAAATCATCCGACATATCCCTGAATGATTCTTTCCACAATGTGGGCATTGTCTGGCTTGACTCTGATTAGTTCTCCCAGCTCCAGATTCCACTGACTGAGTTTGTCTACCTCTCATTTGATTTGATCCTCTAGCGGAGGATGCCACTGATTCTGATCTAACCTGGGGTCGAAAACCAGTATCTTTGCCCCTTTTTGATGGCGCGGAACTCGAAGAAGCACCCGATCTTTTGACTGTCTAAGCCCTTGAATTTTCAAACCTCTCGTTCTGAGCTCTTTCCAGAGCCTTGGCACGGTTAACTACTTCTTGAAATGATGATAAATTCAAGACAATCAATATTTCCTTTAACCGAGGACGTAAACCCTCTACGAACCACTCACAAGCATCATTTTTAGTAGAAATTAGCTCAGCAGCAAAGCGACTCAACTTATTGAATTCACACTCGTACTCATATACAGTGTGATTCCATTGCTTCAAATTCATGAATTCTTGCTTCATTTGACGAACAAATTGATCTCCAATGCACTTATGCTTGAATTCTTCTAAAAATAATGACCAAGTTACTTGGGCATTAGATATCCTCAATGTAACATTGGTCCACCAGATCCTTGCTTATCCTCTCAACAAGGAAATTACTCCATCCAGCTTCTCAGTATCATAACAATAAAGTCCCGTAAGCATGACTTTCATGTCATTAAGCCAAAGGTCCGCAATAACAGGACCTTCATTGGCTTCCCCTCTAAACTCTAGAGCTCCTAATCCCTTCAACTCTTTCGCAACATTCATTTTTGGAGTTGAAGTAACAGGAGGTTGGAAACGCGTCAATACTGCGTCTAACGTTCTAAAGAATATATCTTGATCATTTACAGGCACTCCAGAGGGTGTCTGTTCTTCACTCTGCCTGGCCAGGGCAGGTGAATTACTACTTTCAGTGGGTCTATCATCTCCCGCTTCATTCCTAGAACTACCTTGTCTGGACATCTATAAAAATACAACCATATAGTTCTATTAGCAAAACATCATACTTACTATTCCATCAGATCAGAAGTTTCCACTATTTTGTTGGCATGTATACCTTATAAGACACTCTAGACTTCGGTTTATGCCGAGAATCGACTAAACCGTAGCTCTGATACCATTAAATGTAACACCCTTAACTCATATCCGACCCGAATACAAGTCTGAGGTGTCACATTGACTTTTCAAACTTTGACTCTTAAAGAAAATCCCGGGAATTTTTAAAACTTTCATTAAAATGAAATACTTTAATTTACATAAGACCATAAAATACAAAATCGATCAGAGTATTCGTAATTAACACTTATTACATGCCAACATTTTATACATAACCAATTACATACTTTGTCAATTACTTCTGATCTGATCTCTTAGTAGTATTGCTGTCCGTGCTACTTCTATTTCCATTTTTCCTGATTCTTGGTACCTACGTGTAAATCACTTACACACTAAGTCATAGACTTAGTGAGGCAATAAATGAATATGAAACAATAAACTTATGAATGTTCATACTTACCATTGGATCATGAAATTTCAATATGTATGTATCTATCGCACGATAACATATAATGCACATACGAAACTTACCTTATTGTATCACTTTCACTGTAAATCTGTATTTCAATTGTATTGCCCATGTATATTATTGAGAATAGAGGTATGTGAGTGCATTGAGGTTGTGCACTAATGCTGTCACCACAGCTCGTATCAATTCCCTCATGGGGCACCGAACCTTAGTTCAGTATTCGTCCCGTATGTAACATCCCAAAATACGGGTTAGTGACCAAAATTGTAAAATTTCAGAATATGGTGATTAAAGTAGAATAGTTTAATAGTTTAATGATTTGTTCGGAAATATTTCCTAAAAGTTTATAGTAATAATCCAAGAAATTAAAGGGCAAAATGGTCATTAGACTTGAAATTATAATTAAATGATATATATATATATGGATAAGGATGGGAGATTTTGTCCAGAAATCTCTTCTCTCTTTTCTTCTTCATTTTCTCTTCTCCACGTGTGAAGCCAAGCAAAGGTAAGTTTTCTCTTGAGCTGATTATGTGCTGAAATTTAAGTTTAGTTTTGATTATTAGATGCTAAGTAAGATTAAGGAAGGATTAATTTGCTTTAAAACAACAAAATGAAGAGTTTATGAGGATTTAAAGATTTGAAGTTTTTGAATGAAATATCGAAATAAAGTTTATATTGAGAATTGGAAGTTGAATTTGACTTGTCATCAAGTCAATTAAGGGATAGGAAGTGTTAGAATAAGAATTTGAACATGTTGCAAAACTAGTATAATTTTTGCAATTACATAGGAATGACTAGATTTGAAGTTAAAGAAGTGATTAGCGAATAGAAATAAGTTTAAGTATGTGTATTAAAGTTAAGAGTATTAAAGGAAGTGAAATAGGAAGGTTTAAGCTAAAATAATGTGATTTTCGAGCTCAAAATGAGATTTCTGGGCTAGGCGAATCGGTACCCATTCAAGGGGAATCGATTCCCCATCAAACGAATATGAATTCCAGAATGTTAGAGGGGAATCGATACCCCCAGGGGGGGAACCGATTCCCCCATAATAAAAAAAAAAGAGAAGAAAGAAGAGAGACTAAACTATTAATCTCTTAAATTGGTAGGATATTAGAGGTTAATTTCAAGACTTGGGCATCTGATAATCATCTTGAAAATTATGCTTATGTAGATATTGAACGTGACTTTGCTTCAAAGTAAACGAAGGGTTAAAATTGATTCAATTCAAACAAGGCTAAGGTGAGTGCATGTGCATAACAGGATTATGTTAGTATATTCAGTTTTAGAACTGCGATAAGTCTAGATTTAATATCTTGATACATGATTCATTCAATATTATTAAATATGATAGGAATTCATACCGTATACATTATGGGATATACTATGCAGATTGTGGTAAGTTTATGTTCCAGATTAGAGCTTATATATGAATGAGTTACGAGATATCTATATTAAGTATATGAAGTGTGTGTGCTGTGTTTGTTATGGTTTATATGTATGAATGAGCATATGTATTGACATGTTACCATATATATATATTATATGAGTTGTGTAAATATGTAGATAAATGTGTTAAATATGTGAAATAGTTAAAATGTTTGATATGATTTCATAAGAATATGAAATAAGAAGTATGAAAAGGACATAAGAAAGAATATGAAATAAGAAGTATGAAATGGACATAAGAAAGAATATGAAATATACAGAATATGAATATGAAATCATATGAGGGATGACATATATGTATGTATGTATGTAATGGTTATATGAACATGTATAGGTAATAAGATGATCATATGAACATGTGATAAAGAGCTATAGAAAAAGAAAAATGTGATATGATGTATGAATATGTAATAAGGTAAAAGACAATGCCATGATATGAGTTATGAGAACTGTAAGTATAGTTGGTATGCCAAGAGTCAAAGAACTACCTATGTCTTTCGAGACATATGGACAGTATACCTATGTTCTAAGGAACATAGGGATAGTTACCGAGGATCTTTATGACCTCTGGACAGTTACCGAGGATCTTTATGACCTCTGGACAGTTACCGAGGATCTTTATGACCTCTGGACAGTTACCGAGGATCTTTATGACCTCTGGACAGTTACCGAGGATCTTTATGACCTCTGGACAGTTACCGAGGATCTTTATGACCTCTGGACAGTTACCGAGGATCTTTATGACCTCTGGATAGTTACCGAGGATCTTTATGACCTCTGGATAGGTCCTTCGGAAAAATTCATGGAGCTGTGGGAACAGCATACGTGTGCACAATCTCATAATACTCGTATACCTTGGGTTCTCAATAGTGTATATTGGCTCATATGTGGTATAATAAATGATGGTATGATAGTATAATTGTGTTTGGATAGTAGACGACATGTTTATATTTTAATAATTCTTTATTATGTAATTATGCCTCACTAAGTCTATGACTTAGCGTGTAAGTGTTTTTACACGTAGGTTTCGAAGAGCAGGAGAATCAAGAATAGGAAATTGCAGATCAACCTATCTCTACTCAGCGATCAGATCAGAAGTAAAGTCACAGTAGGTATTTTGTAGTATGTAGTGTGTTGGCATGTATGAACAGTGTTAGTTCAAATGCTCTGATTAGTTTTGTCTTGTCTTGGTAAACTCGTGTGCAGTGACAATGTTATTTTAATAAAAGTTTTAAATTTCATTGGTTTTCGTTAAAAGATTAAAGTTTGAAAAGTCAATGTGACACCTCAGACTTGTATCCGGGTCGGATACGGGTTGAGGGTGTTACACCGTAGGATTATTATCTATGTCCCATAGGACCACTACATCCCGAAGGACTTCTTCTTAAGAACCACATACATAATACAATGGCTCCAATCAGTGTACCGAAGTACCACATATAGGTTCCACATAATTATATATATGTCCCGAATGACCACATAGAACCCTCGACTCTTGGCATGCCAACTATACCTATAGCTCTCATTTCGTATACTATGAGCATTATTCTTATATTTCATATGTTCATGTACTCATGTCATTTTTCTTGTGATCATGTATCTCATGTCACTTCATATCATGTTCTCATATCACATGTCATATCACATATTATATCACATGAACATATATATATATCTTATGCATGTATCACAATAATTATCATGTATGCATGTTCACAACTACTGTATTAAAAAAATCAACATAGGAATTAGACTTATCACAAGTCTTATTCCATTATAATATACATATAGTATGCACTCACCTTAGCTTTGCTTTGATTCGATTCTAATCCTTTGATCGTTCCGGAATAAGCTTACTTTTAGTATCTACATAATCGCACATGGATCTATATCAGTATTATAACTAATATATTCTAATGGTTCATTCTTTAGACTAAGATAAAAGTCAATTTCATCTTTTAATGAAGGTATGCATCGATGCACTACTGATGCATCGGTGCATAAAAGGTATTCGATGTATTATTATTGTTGGGATGCATCGATGCACTCCTTATGCATCGATGCACCAATTGTATTTGATGTTTCATTATTAATGGGATGCATCGATGCACTACTTATGCATCTATGCATGAATTGCATTCGATGTTTTTATTTTAAAAGAATGCATCGATGCACTACCAATGCATCGATACACCTTCAAACAATTTCTGGGTTTTAACCTTGATGCATCGATGCACTATGAATGTGCATCGATGCACTATGAATGTGCATCGATGCACTCTGCCCAGAATCCTCTTTTTGAACCCGAAAGTTCATTCATTTGGAATAAATCCTTCATGTTTAATCTCTTTTTTCATTCTTAACTCTAGTACACATCCTTAAACCAATTTATACTCATTTATTTCATCTTAAACCTTCAAATCCTATCATTCATATGTAATTCAAGAATTACATCAATAATCCAACATGTTTGAATTCCGCTTTTAACACTTCGTATATCTTAACTAGATTGATGACAAGTCAAATATAACTTTCAATTCTAGTTATGAACTCCATTCCAAGATTTTATTTAAGAACTTCAAATCTTAAATCTCTCCTAACTCAATCATCCTTTGATGTTAAGATAACTTAAGCTTTCCTTAAGCTTAGTTATCATCTAATAATCAAAACCCAATATTAAATTTAACAAGAAACTCAATAATCAGAAATCTTACCTTTGCTTTGGTTCACACGCACAAGGAAGAAAGAAGAAGAAGATAACTCTGGAAGGCTTTGGTGTTCTCTTCTTTTCATCCCACTTGTACTCATATATATCCTTATCCCTTCTTTAATTAATTTTCCTTGCAAATGGCTCTTTTGCCCTTCCATTCCTTCTTCCTTTCAATTCAATCCTACACAATCATTTACATATAAATCTTTATACTATTCATTCATTCTATTTTAATCACCAAAATATGAAACTTTCTAATTTAGTCACTAACCCGGTATTGAGGATATTACATATACACTCTGCAACCATTAAAAAGAGCATGAGCCCAACACGAATCCGTACTGATTACAAACTAACAACTAAAGTGACATTTGCGTGGTAGGGATATTTCATAATCTGTTTGTATGGAGAAAGCAAGAAAACTACATTTCCTAAAATTCCATTGGTTCAAAATACGTGTAATGAAAAATGTTGCAAAATGCACAAATCATTCTAAATGACGAAAAGCACAAGGAGATCATAACTATGTAAAAATATGTCCCAAAAAGGGTACAAGATAGTAACTAACTCTCAACTCTCCAAATTAAGTTCAGTCGAAAGTCAAAGAGATAGGGTAAAGGGGAAAGGAAGAAAAAACACTCCTGAAACCAAAAGCAAGTTATGTTCACACATAAATCACTCCATAGAATTATTGCATCCACAAATAATCAATTTCACTTTGCAATAAAAATATCATTAAACACATTGGTAATTAAACAACTGGAAAATGACATTAGAAAACTATTTTGCCTTCAGTTAAGAAATGCATTATGGCCAACCAAGAGCAAAAGGCAAAAGATTCTATGTAAGACTAGTTACAATTTCACAAAATTTAGAAGTTCATGAGGGGAAAAACCAAATAAGTTTAGAATTTAGAATATGGTTTGGCATTCCTTAAAAAAGAGAGACAACATTGGAAGTCAATTAGATGAGAGTTACTTTCTTTACTGTCATTGCTTAAATGCATCCAACACATCAATTATTATACAAACAAGTGAATCCTGAAAAGCTATCGATGAAGGAAAACCCAGTAATAAAGTTGAAAACTAACCTACGTGAAAAGCCCTCGGACATGTATCAATTATTATACCCCATTTGATGTGTAAATGTTTTGAAAACTGTAAACAAAGGAAATGTCAAAATAACACTCATGTTTATATATACATACACTAAATGAACCAACTCATTATTATAACAATTACAAGATAAAAAAGACCAAAAACAACGAGGTTTTGACAACTAAGACTGAGCAAAAACTTACAGCTTGCGACGACTAGAAAAACCAGCATGAGCTTCAAACTGTGAGGGGCTTATCTGTGCTCTTATAAAACAACAAAAACAAAAAATCAGAGAATTTAAATGCAATAAAGTCATTGGGAAAACGAAGAGAAAAGGGTACCTCTGAATTGCAGCATGTGCATAATATTCCAAATCCCCTTTTATAGCCAACAAGCATTTTCTGTAACATATCAAATAACCACTTAGTAGACATAGTTGAAATAGATAAATCTTACGTTTAAGCATATTCACACAAACCTTTCCGCAAACAGAATAGCCTAATTCAGTCCCGTCTGGCAACCCATCTTCCTCAAATACCAATTTATGCATCCTCATATCCCTTCAAAAGCAGTATGAAGGTGATTAATTCATATATAGTATCAACAAAAAGATAATGCCAAACGTGACCACCTCATCTATAATCAGCAGAGTGAATATCAAATGTGTAAACACAATACATAAACTCAAAACTAAACTTACTTTCTAGTTACTCTACCCTGACTCTTAGCTTGTGATGAATTGCATTTTAAAGCACTCATTGGAGACTTTGGAAACACAGTTGGCTTGGGTGATCTGAAGTAAACCCAAAAAGAAAACAAAAATAAAATAAGCGGGTGAAAGAGTTAAACTTCAACAGAAATATCTTATCTTTATTCATGCAGATAAGAGAAAAATGATACTAACAAGCAAGTCAATGCAATGTGGAGACTATCTCTTTGCATTTAAATCTAAAAGCTAGCATGCAAATTTCATAAGCAGCAAATATAACTTCCAATCCACATTCATACAAATTTACTACTCTTTTATCGGGAATAATCATAAACCCCCTCAATACTCATAAATTTGATGAAAATTTGCATCTGCATTGCAAAAACACAAGATGCCAGAGCCCTTGATTATTCCCCGAAGGCCATTACTCCCTGAAGCTCTTGTAATGAAAACATTACTACAAAAACAACTCGAAAGGGTTCAATGCACGTACAATTATGTATGTAAAAATGAAATACTAGTGCTTTTCGCATAACGAAAACCCAGTGCTCTGACAGTGAAAAAAATCCTTGAAAATCAAATTTTACCCAAAAATGAGAACCACTAAAGAAATTTGAAAAATTATTTTTTGGGGGTTAGAGGAAGACGATAACGTTAGGGCTTAGTTGACGTTTTAGAAAGTAAAAAATGAAATGAACAAAGAAGACGATAGAATATAATAGAATAGACATTTCGATTATGCTTTCTCAAGTACCATAAATCTTCAAGTAAAATAAACTAAATAGGGTTTTCGAATACAAGCTTTTCAAAAACAAAAACAAAATCCTGAAGAGCAAAGAGCGCCATTGGTTCAACATCTTGGTGTTGGTGCGTGGAGCGATGGTAATATGCTCGGCCTTTTGCTCACAATCAGTCAACTTGAAATCCTGTGAGTTTTCCGAATTCGCTGGACCCGTCTCATCTCTAACCAATACAACTTGCAAATTTGGCACAATACATGCTTCTCTCCCAAAGACAAAATATCAGCAGATAGTAACATAAAACAAAAAAAAAACCATAAAAATGAAGTAAAAATTATAATCGTTAGAAAAAGGAGAAACCATAACAATAACAAGAACAAAAACACTGAACGAACCGATCGATTTTCCTCCAAAGTTTAAATTGAACATATCGAACCCACGTGAAATCAAATAAACTAAGAACAAAATTAGGGCCACGAAATGATTTAAAAAGAGTGCAAGTAAAGGAAAGGCAGAAACCTAAGTTTTCTAGAGTAAAAAAGAAACAAAGAGAAAGTTCGAGCAAGAGAATGAAAAAATAGGTGAAGTGGGAAAAATAGGTAAAGTGAGAAAAATGAAAAAGGGTTAAAGGGGTGTGGGATTTAAAAATTGTAAATTTACGGCGTTTGTAAACAAAAATGCCACTAAAGTACGAGTCTATAGAGGCGTTTGTTCTAAAAACGCCACTAAAACAAGACTCTATAGTGGCATTTTTTACAAAAACGCCACTAAAGTTATGAGTCTTTAACGGCGTTTGCATACAAACGCCACTAAAGTACGAGTCTATAGCGGCGTTTATTCAAAAAATGCCACTAAAGTACTAGTCTATAACGGCATTTTTATAAAAACGCCACTAAAGTACAGTCTTTGGCGGCGTTTGTATAAAAACACCACTAAAGTACTAGTCTATAGCGGTGTTTAATATAAAAACGCCACTAAAGTACGAGTCTATAGCGGTGTTTGTATAAAAACGCCACTAAAGTACTAGTCTTTAGCGGCGTTCTAAAAACGTCACTAAAGTACATTTTTTAGCGGCATTTATATAAAAATACCACTAAAGTTCAAGTGTTTTGCGGCGTTTGTTCTAAAAACGCCGCTAAAAATGCCACTATAAACCCATTTTGCTGTAGTGAATTTGACTTCGGTCAACACTTAAATTGAATGACCTCGACTTGAGCTTAAACTCGACTCATGTTATTAACATGACAAAGCGAACTACTTGATATCTGACTCGAAAAACTTGCAAACAACTCAAAAAAATAATTTACTAAATTAAACTATTAATAATATTAACATTTATATGCATTCTTAAATATAATATAACATTTTCATGCACTTAAGGTTCAACTTCAAGTTTGAGCTTTAATCGACCTAAGTCTGAGAATGTTTCAAATTTAAATTTTTTCGAGCTCGAGTCGAGTTTCAAATTTTTATTTCGAGTTCAAGTCGAGCTTGACAATTTTAAGCTCGTGATGTTTCGTCTGGGGTATCAAGTAGCTCGTGAGCTTTCGAGTCGAGCTTAAATTTTTTATTTCGAGTTCAAGTCAAGCTTAACAATTTAAGCTCGCGAACTTACGAGTAAAGTTTAATTTTAATATTTTTTAGTCGAATAAAACTCAACAATACTCGAAGTCAACTCGACTCGTTTACAACCCATATTCAACCTGTAATACTTGATCTAGATATTATTGAACGAGAATGATTATCATAATAAAAACTAAAATGAATTTGAAAATGATTTGTTAAAAGATGTTTATATAGTTATTTACTAGCTAGGGAAACTAAGGGGTTGTTTGTTTACTTCAGAATGATTAAGCGTTGAATGATTCAAATGCTGAATAATTCAAAGGCTCTATATGAATTAGCTCTGAATGTGACATGTTGTTTGATAACGGCTCTGAATCTTTCAGAATGTACTTCTGTGCTAAATCATTAAGTAATGTTTTGCTGAATCAGTCAGCACTGAATCATTCAGAGGTGCGAAACAAACGCGCTGAATGCTGAAAGCGCTGAATGATTCCATTAAGAGGCAAACAAACAGCCCCTAAGTCTCTAAATTCGAATTTCCTCCATCAAGCACCAAAATTGAATTTTAGGTTCTATTAAAGTCCAGTTTTATCATAATTAAAAAAATACCAACTCTAATTTTTTTAACAATGTGGTTTCTTCAAGAAGGACCAAATCTCTTTTTGAGGGTTAATTTGAGGTTTGAAACAAGGTACAGAGTCTGTTAATAGGATTCGTAAAATTCAGTCGATTTTAGGTAGCCCCGTTTGATGTGACTTCGTAAAGACACTTTTAATTAAAAATTCAATTTTAATCGTAAAATCAATGATAAATAAATAAATAAAATTAAACTAAAAACAATAATTTCAGATCAACTCTAAAATTTAAAAATTTTAACTTTTTTCATTTTTAACCATGATTTTAACAATTTTTGTATAAATTAACACATCTAGTTGATTGATAAGTTGTTTATTTTTGTTCCGTCATATTTTTTAGATATAAACTGTAAGAACATTCCATTTCCTTTCCATAGAGTTTTCCCTTTCTCTCACATCTAAGTAGGATTAGAATTGGATTTAGAATTTATCGACAAATAAATTGTTTTTATAAAATTGAACTCGTCAAGTGACATTAGCAATAAAAAGAAATATTGATCTTTGTCTGCGTTATCAATAGATTAAGAAATTTTAAATAAATATTATCTTATAATCACTTCAAATTATTAAAAAAATAATAATTTAAAAAAAATTAAAATCAAATGATATATTTCATGACTGACAAAAATATTAGAAAATATGAGGAAAACAATTTATGCCATGTAAGGCGCTATAAAATTACTTTCTGATTTAGTGCAGATATTATAGTGGGAAGTTCCGCTGTGAGAAGGTTAAAAAATGGCTAAAAAAATGTGTGATTGGTTAAACAAGTGATCAGTTAAAGTCTATACCGTAAATGTTATATGATTTAACCGGAAATATAAAATAGGCGTTATCTATTACATTAAAATACTTACCAATTTTTTAAGGTTGTTAATAATGTAAACGGTAAAAAATAGGCACTACCTATTACATTAAAATACCTACTGGTTTTTTGAAAATTGCTAATAATGTAAACGGTACAAAAAAAATAGGCACTACCTATTATATTAAAATACCTACCGATTTTTTTGAAGGTTGCTAATAATGTAAACGGTAAAAAAATAGGTGCTACCTATTACATTAAACTATCTACCGGATATGTTGAAAGTATCGATTCCATTTAAATAAGTATCGATACTTTTAGAATTGAAAAGAAAAACAGTAATAGCGCCTATAAAGTATCGATACTTTATAAAAATGTATCGATATATAACAATATAACATGTAAAAATATGACAAAACCGGTAAAGAGCTACCATATATGTTAAAAGTATCGATACTTTATAAAAATGTATCGATACATAACAATATAACAGGTAAAAATATGACAAAACCAGTTTCATTATGACAAAACAGGTAAAGAGCTACCGGATATGTTAAAAGTATCGAT